CCCCCCGGGCCATAGGTGAGGGACATTGCTACTGGATCATGTCAGAAGATGCTGCTGAGGATAGACTGACTTTGGCCATGGGACCAAGAGAAGGCAAAAATGGGTGCTGGTGTGACAGTATGCAAGTTGAACTGTCAATATGCTTACCAAGCCAGCCTTTCTGTTTCCTTCACCTTGGTTCCCAACCTCACACCCTGAGTCCCTCAACCCCCAACTCCAAACCCACCCTCTACTCTAGACCAGATTCCACAGGCTTCAATCTGCCCGTTGGTTTACCTGACAATCCATCCATAAACCCACTAATCCATCCCACGGACTGATCCTTTCTGTGATCAAAGACCCTCTCTCTGGCTGAGGTTGGCTCTCAGCTCATTGCCGGGGGTTGGGGGAAGGAGGAGTGGTGGCTTTTATGAATATGGCTCAAATCCTGCTTCTCAAGCTTCCCTCCAAATAAACTGATTGGCCACTAATGGGCCCTGGAGTGTCCATCCCACTCTTGTTATGATTCCACAGTGTTCAGACTGATTTGTGCATGAACAGAAATAGAGCCATCACACTGTACAGAGGGAACAGAGAGCAACTGGATGCAGGATGACAGGGAAGGAAGGTAGCTGAGGATCCAAAAAGACTGGAACCACTACCCAGAGAAATTCTCAGAATTTGCTCACACTTGTGGGTTAAGGATATAGTCCACAGCTAGAGGAAAGGACAAGGAAAGAAGATATGATGGAAAGCTCCACTCCAGGTAGCAGCAGACTCTTACTCCACTGAGGAACTGCCTCAGAACCTGCATCCCCAACTTTCACTGAAGTTCCTGCTTCCCTCTGAGGCACCTGACCTGGCCTCCTGCTAAACAACAAGGCTAAGGGCCCTACACAATAGTTTCCTTAGGAATGGGAAACTAGTTTTTCTAGAGATGGCCCTTGGCTGGGAGATGAGAGTGTGGGAGTTGTCGGGGACTTCGAAAGATATCACTCCTTGATGCTGGTGCCCAAGAAAGAATAAGAATTTTGGTATCTAAGAAGCTAGGTGGATATGTGTGGTGCTACAGTAGGTGTTTCTGTTGGGCCAGAGAGAGTCAGTCCCCCAAAGAGTCTTCAAGTCTAATAGAAAATCAGCTCAAAGGCTGAGAACAGGCTCCCAGGAGTCTACCCACAGAGCACACTGCAGAGACTGAAAGACCACAGCACAAGGTGGGCCTCTTGTCACCCTTCATATTCCCCACTACCATCCTTCACCAGACATTCCAGAGTTGCTACAAGACATTCAAGGGCTTCAGCATGGAACAACCAAGGTGCTATGGCCCTGATCTGAGTGATAGCTGAGCTGCTGCCTGGAATTTCAGGTGAGGTGAGAAAGTAGAGAATGATTCCCAAGCAGACAGGTCCAGCTCCAAGACCTGAAAATGCTCCATTTCCCCTGGGGTAGGGGTAGAGGTGGGAATCATAAACAAACCAAGGGCATTTTTACTCACCAGCCTAAGTATGACCAACTTCTGAACTCCAGAACACCTCCCCAAACCTCAGTGCCAGCAAAAGGGGCCCACTCATTGTCTCTAGCATACCTTGCATGTTTTCCACTTCCTTGCCTATGTTTAAGCTGTTCTTCCAAACTGGAAAGTCCTATCCCTTTTCCCAAGTTTTCCTCATGCTTGAACAATTTGCTCAGCACCACCTCCTTTACTGAGCCTCCTCTGACCACTCCGTCCCTCTCCTACACCCCCCCAATGTACAAATTGCTTTTTGATGCTTATCATTCACAATTTTGATGCATAGTTATATTTTCATGTGTGTATATCTGACTTCACAAGTACATTGTAAAATTTGGAGGGTAGGGGCCATATCTTAGGCATCTATGTATCCTCCAGACTTACAGATAAAGAGTGCTTGTAAGAGTGCTTGGCAAATAGTAGATAATCAATAAACATGTGTTGATTGAATAACTGTTTTATTCTGTCAAAGTGGCCCATACAGGGCAGGTGTGATGGAGAGAATTGGGTTAAAGGGAGGGTAAGATGGAAAATGGCCTTTATTCCCACTGGGCGGATAGAAAATTCTAGACTTTTCTGAAGATACTACAAAAGTAAGACACTCCTCCTCTCCAGGAAAACTTTAATCTTTTCATCTTGCCCAGGGATCTTCCTTTTCACAATAATTGTTTCATTTTTATTTTCTAAATTTGCTATGTGTTTATTCCTTTCATTCTCTGAATCACCACTGTGAGGAAGGTTAAATAGATCGGATAATCTCCACTTGGCAGATGGGGAAACTAAGGCCCACATAAGAAAAGAGATTTCCCCAGGGTCACACAGATGGTGCTAGTGCCCTAGTTTCCTGACTCCCAAAATAGGATTCTGCAGATCCAACAACATTCACAGACAATAGGAAGAGCCTGACAGAGGTTCCCAAACTGCCCGAGGAAAACAGCTTATGGTCAGCAAAGTAATATTGGAGACACATAGGCTTTCCTAGTCTCCTGTGAGGAGGATCTGGGAGAGCAGGACAAATTCACTGAGTATACCACCTGGAATTGCCCCTCCTGCCATGCTGGCCAGCCAGCCAGCCTGGGCACAGCTAACTGTCCCATCAGGGGAAATGCCAGGCTTACATTTGAATAAGTCACAATACCTCAGTTCCAATTACCCTAACTCTGGAGGTGTGAGATTTGGGGAGGCCAATGATTTGTCCCTATTTCAACCTCTTTTGGAAGTAACAAAGCCTAATTCATGAAGATATTAACTGTGGCAACATTGGCCATAATGGGACCCTATAAGATTCAGCTTACCCAATCCCTGGACCTTGTAGGCCTCAGCACACAGAAGCCTGTTATAACAGGCACTACTATCATTGTACTCTTGAAGTGGGCCTTCTTTGGTGCAGAGGCTAGGACCCTAGCATCCAAGCCCATTTAGAAGGAATGGAGGCAGGCAGGAATAAGGGTGGAGAGAGAGGGCTTGATGAACAGAAGTTTAATAAGTGGTAATGTCTCTGGTCTGGTACCAGGAACCCAAGTGCCCTTGACTGGGGCCACTGGAGGTTGGAAGATGGGGTTGTCTTGCTGACTCTGCTATGCTAAGTGGGTACCAATCTGGTATGGGCTCTGATGCCCCACCACCTGGCAAACAAAACACTTTCAGATCCACCAATTTCATTGCATGCTCTAAATACCCCAACAAAACAGATCTTTTGCAGGAAACAAAATGGAGGCCGAGAGAGGTAAGTTCCCTAAAATCACAGAGTGTCAGAGTCTGAACATAAGCTTGGAAACCCTTCCCATAGGGTCTGAGATTGTGCTCAGAAGGTATAAGAGCACCTGTTGCTCTTTAGACTCCTGCCTTTGCTCTTGGAATCTAAGGGCCTTTGAAGGAAACTGAGCACGATCTTCCCTTCATCTTAGGATAAGGCTGACCTGGGAAGTCCTTCTTCCTTTTTTTTTTTTTTTAAATAAGAGTTTATTTGCTCTAAACTGATGACGTATGCTGGGGAATAAGATCTCAAGTGCTCTTCTTGCTTCCTTTTAATCTGGAAAGATTCTATGAAAGGAATTAGAAATTCATCCTCAACTAGAGAAATCAGGGAAGACCCAACAAAGAGCAATTCGTTGAGCAAGAAAAGCCTTTGACTGTTTTTTTCTTTGGCTTGTTGAGCAAGAAAAGCCTTGATCTAAATAATTTCCTAGAAATCTCCTTGAGTCTGGGTCCATGTTGAACAGCTTTCAGCTAACCCCATTGCTTTCCATCATAAAGTAATTTAGATTAGCCAAAGACCAAGGGGATAGTGAAGGCCATTGTGTTTATGCTTCAGCCTCATGGTGTTGACCCTTGCACAAGGAGAGCTGTTTCTGCCCTCCCTTATTCCTCTGATAATAGGATGACTCATGTTTTCCCCCCTTTGGGGCCCTGGTGACCCACTGCTATGTGATCATTAATGGGGAGGTGGAGGCTAAAACTAGCTTCTTGGTGAGACCTTTACCCAGTTAAACAACCATTCAACCAACTCTCCAGCCAGCCAGCCCACACTAACTGCACTCTTAGTCTGTGTCAGGCAATGTGTGCTTTGAGGGCTATAAGGGTGAATAAGGGTAGTCTGCGGCTTATAGGAGCTGACAGCTCATCTGGGGAAGATAAGATATGCACACCAAAATGTGGTCTAAGGCACAAT